TTCAGAGGAGAACTGTTGGTCCTTTAACCTCAGCTCAGGTTACTTGTCCTCTTCCTGGGAGGCAGGAAACCCTCCTAACAGAAGGCAGAAAGGTCTCCCAGCCTTACCTCAGAGCTGTGCAAGCGAACACATACCTGCAATGAAGAAGAAGTCCACCAGGGGGAGTAATGACATGAGCGAGGCAAAGAGGCTGGATCTGAATTACAAGGAAAATCAACCTCACAGCTAGATCCAGAAGAACTACTTTGAGAGGGAAGAGGATTTCCTCTTCTACCTCTCCCCTTTCCTTTCCACCAGCTTCCCATAAGAGGGCTCAAGACAAGACCCTGTTTGCAGAGCCAGGTGAATTAATCTCCGTGGCGCTGAGTCAGACTGGGCTCATCTTTTGATTTGATTGCAAAGTCCACTGGCTCACTTCTCATGCTGTCGTCCCCTTCTTTCTCCTGCAGAGTTGGGAAGCACTGAGCATCATTCTAAGAAATGATTTTGTGTTCCTGGGATAAGTGTCCTGGCACCCAGTGAGATAGCACTTAATACAAATTCAGAGTTGCGTGATATCTTCTGAGGTTTGAGTCTCGGTGGCAGAGAAATTTTCCCTGGTTAGTGGAGGATTCACTTTAATAGAAGGAAAACTGTTTAATAATTAGAGCCTTTTATGTAATGACTCTTCATTAGAGTTGTACAGGAGGAGCTCTTTAGGAGTATTTTTCCCCAAAGATACAAATACCTGCCTGGCTTTTGCCCTCTTTACATCCTGTATTTTGGAGATCTCAGCTTATAATTGGAAAGCGCTCTCCAGCAGATTTTAATGCCCATTATGTTTTTTTAATGGATCTCCATTTTCTGTCGAATAAATTTCCACCTCTTTTTAAAATTTGGCATTCGGAGTCCTCTAGGACTTTGCCGTGGCTTACTTTCAAGGCTTATTCACACACACTCTTCTTGATTTATGTTATATTTTAATCAGCCTACTGTGCATACTTACCCTTTCCTACCAGTGGGGTGATGACACTTTTCTAATAATATTGCTTCCGGTGTTAGAAATCAAGTGCACAACGCAGAGTCTGCTGCTCAGTCTCCCACATTAGCATTAGGTCCTCAATAAATATTCACCAACGCGAAGGAACAAACAGTGCAGAAAGAAATCTGCTTTAAAAAAGAATGAGTGAACCTTCCCGATGAACAGAAGCCCGAGGACCGTGGAAGAATCCCTGTGTCTCAAGAGCTCTTCCAAATCAAATATGGTTTCCTTAGGTAAGTTTCTGTAGTCACAGTTCAGACCTGGCACTTACAGTGGGCAAGAGCAACATGAGATGGAAGCTTAAAACAATGGAAAGAATCTAGTGCTGTACAGTTTTTGGCCAAGCGGATAACGATTTTAGAGCACACGGGCTTAGCATCGCTCTCTCAGCCTCTCATCATGGGAACGCTTTTCCAGGTTTAGATAATTTGAACAGCTGTTGGACGGAGTCAGAACAGATGTGGAATTCAGAGTAAAATAGTAGCCTGTACTGGTATCCCTGGTGGAAACTGAACTGCAAATTCTATAGGATGCAAAGAAGAGTAAGAAATACTTTATTGTTTTGTTTATTAGTACATGCGTATAATACGTAATGTTTGCATTTCTTGTGGGAAGTTGGTATACGTACATAGCATATCTTTCTTTTTTCAGTACCGGGGATTAAACTCAGAACCTTGCACTTTCAAGGCCAGCGCAGTGCCACTGAGCTAAATCCCCCGCCCTACATAGCGTATCTTAATTCCTCTTTTCTTCCTCTTTCCTTCCCTCTCCCCTCCACCCAACTCCTGATCCTTTTCTTCTTCTTTTGGACATGTTTGCAGTACATCATGCTTACATCCCTTGTGTGGAGCCAGCATATGCACATAACACACCCCAATTCCTGATTTTCAGGCCTTACCTCTTCCCAACTTGGTCTCCTTCTCCTTTGAAAATGATCTATCTCCCTACTTCCTATTACTTATCTTTTATATTACTCTTTACTTTTACTCTGGGTTTCTCATATAAGAGAAACCATGTTCAAACACTTTAGAGTCCCCTGATGGATCAGGACTGGAAAGTACTAGATGAAATACAGTTATGTGGATATTTTTGTTTTTAACTGTGTTTTAAATTCTAAGTTTGTGAAATGGGAATAACTACTATGAATCCCCTACAGGGAGAGAAGGTATTCAGCATTTCCCAAGTTTGTTGAACCATGGGGCTTTTGCTTTCTTACTTGTCTTAGGGGGTTAGGGTTTCAGGAACACACTTAGGGAAACACTGACAGGGCTTCTGAACCCAGGCTGCATCTCACAATCTCCTGTGGCACTACATTAGCGAGAAGGGGGTGGGAGTGTTGGGAAGGAGAGAGGTGGGGAGAGGGCGGGAGGGAGACAGAGATAGAGACAGTGACAGAGACACAGAAGGTTTTCTGGACTCCTCCCCAGAATCTCCAGCAGATTGGCAAGTGCAACTCTGGATTTTAAAAAGCTCTACTGGAGATTCGTCTGCTGAAACAGAGCAGACAACCACCCATTATGAGCATGGCCTTGGGTTCAAGTCCAGCTGCCACACATAATCCCTATATTATTTTTGAAAAGTGACTTCATTGAGTTGCCTTAGTTTTATCATTCATGAAACAGGAAATCATTGTATTTTTGGTCCAAAAGATTTAAATGAAATAATGAAATAAAACAATTAGCGTGTAGCAGGCCTCATTTCCAAGCTGTAACCCTCAGGAATATCAATAAAGATACAAATAGTAAAGTTATTTGCTCCTTCAATCTTTTTTAGGCCCCTGTGCCAATAATTTTTTTGCTCATTTCCAAAAAGAATAAAACAATTATGGATTTCTATGCTTGTGATATGCCTGCAGCACTTTGAACCCTCACTGTACTTAGAGCAAACCTTCATTGCATTTATAGTATCAGGCCATTAGCAAAAATGAATATAGACATATTTGGCAACTAAAACAGTCGCTTCACACTTGATCTTAGCCAAAAGGCTGAGAAGTATGATTATATCCCATATCTTTTAGAAAAAGTTCCTGTCTTTTGAACTGTTTATAATCTCCACTTTCCAAGAGACCACCTAAGCCTCCCCTCAAAATTGAAATCTGGGTTTAGGGCATAAAAGAACTGATGTCACTGTGGGTGGGTGTTACACACTGTGCAAAGGTCCAACATTTGGCCAGTAGCAGTTCCAGCACTTTTGTTGAGGAGAAGTTACTCAAAATGTAAACCTCAAAGGTGTTTCTATTTCTATAAGAGCAGATGTAATGGGACTTTTATAGCATCCTAACATTTGGTGTCTTCACGCTTCTTTTCCTTCTTAATAATCCCCTCACTGTCTTGTTCCATTAAATAAAACTTTTAACATTTAGTGTGAAAAAAAAAAAAAACATCTAGTGTGCGTAGGGGGAGGAGGGCACTAGAGCCTCCAGGGAGATATGTATGGTAAACTGGCTGTGGCCCAGAGGTGTGTGTGTGTGTGTGTGTGTGTGTGTGTGTGTGAATGAAATGGTATAGATAATTCCAGTCTTGTGAGTGGATATTTTTACAGAGTTCATTGGTAAGTCAGCAGTTTGGAACTTGGAACACACTGTCTCATAAAAGAAACGTTCTGCTTGGTGGACAGAGTCCCAGCCCAGCCCACAAGAGCCTGCTTAACTCCTACTGTACCTGGAGCAAAACTGTTCCTTTTTATTTTTTACAAGAGAACAATGTTTCCATGGGAACAAATTTTCAGAGTTCTAATGTTTAAGAGTGAGAATCACCAACTATCAGATTTTAACTAGATTCCTAAATTACTTCCCCTTTATTCCTTTAATACACTACCAAGAAGAGGAGTTAGTCATACCACTAATTATTTCTTGAATATATTAAATTTTAATGCTTTTTAAAGTACTTTCAACTTAAATAAAATGGATACACAGAACAAGGACAAATTTTTCTAAACACTGGTGTACTTCTCCACACTTGGTTTCTACTGCTTCCTGGCTGCTCTTGTACTCCAGAGGCAGACAAACTGACTTTAGGGGAGGGAACTGTCACTAGTACCTTTGGTTTTACAACAAAATTGTATATCTGTTTCTTTTTTCCTATCTTATCTCTACTTTTGCCTTAGGTTTTAAAAACTTGTCTCATAATAGAAATCTGCAATAACTAAGTAATGAAACATATTGTAGGTCATACCAACCACAGGAACCAGAAATGTTTCAAATACATAATACACAGATTATGCTAGGGACTCTGTAAATATATCAAAGAATCATAGGGCTGGTAAGAACGTACAAAGATTGTCTAGACTGTTCCCTGGCTTCCAAATGAGCCAATCATTCCAAACAGATGAGAGCTAACCTATATTTTAGAGACAGGAAACTTTGTCTTTAACCCTTTCTGGATCTAACAATCTACATACCATGGGTAAACTATTGCTAATATTTCATCTAAATTTCTTCATGCTCAGTTGTAACCATAAAAATTTTACTTTCTCATGTTTAGAATAGGACAAATGTAGGATGATCTGTATGAAATTCCACAACATAATTACATATTATATTTTGTGTTCTCTTCTCTAGGACCTTTCCCAAATGTCCCAATGTCTGCTCCTTTTGTTACTGTTGTTTTATGCTCTCCGGCTTGCTTGGACCTTCTTCAATAGTGGAAATTAAAATCCAGCAACTGTGTTTTATAAGAACTGAGTAGGGTTTCGGTAGACAGGAATATTTAAGAATAATCTAAAGAGTAGGTTCTAAAATTTAAATGCAGGGGAAAACCAAATTTAAGAATTATAATAAAATTATAACATAGGCTATTTACTTATAGTTTCTTTCTTTCCTAACCATATTTGCTCTTCAATCAATTAAGGAAACTAAAGAGAATCTACCACTGTTAAACAATGTTAGGCATAAAATGTGATAACTTTAAAGGCCACCAACTGTATTTTTTCAAATGAATTGAAGCAAAACAGGCTTTAAGAATGACAAAAGTCTACTTACTTGTTCATTTTTAGTTAGTCTGGTTTTGTTGTGAATATCTGATGTGACCAAATTGAATCCATGTTTCTCTGACAAGATTCTCAGAAGCAAGACCACAGTGCGACTCCCACACTTGCCGACCCTATTGTACACCACCTGGCTGGGGAAAGGAAGGACCTGTGAGAAGAAGAGAGAGGAAGTCTGAAACACTGGGATTAAAACATGGTGATTTCCTTGATTTCAGAACAAGGAATATATAGCCCCACATCATAACTCAAGAAAGTTATGATGCACTCTGTGCACCAATACACAATACTGGTGGTTTCACACAGACTACAAGGTTGATTACAAACCTTCTTTTATCTCTTCAAAAAAAGTACACTGTATAAAGACATGCACCTTGAATTATCAAAGTTGAACCAAGAAGATATAAAATTCAAAATAACCCAATGTCAATCAATGAAATTGAAAACAATAAAAATTTAACAACAAAGAAAAGCCAAGATGATGGCTTTAATGCTGAATTCTACAAGAAATTTAGGAAAGAGGTAATGCCACTGCTTCTCAAATTCTTTAATGAAATTTAAAAGGAAGCAATACTCCCAAATTCATTTCTGGAAGCAACCATTATCCTGATGCCAAAAGCAGAGAAATACCTAACCAAAATAGAGAACTACAGGCCAATCTCCCTAATGAACACAGATGCAAAAATCATTAATAAGATACTGGCAAACAGAATAGGATCATCAAGAAGCTCATACACTCTGACCAAATTGGATTCATCCCAGGGATGCAGGAATGATAAATAAATAAATGTAATACACTATATTAACAGAATAAAGGATAAAAACCATACAGAAAACTGGAATAGATGGCCTTTATCTCAGCCTGATAAACTCTATCTATGAAAAACCAACAGCCAACATCATACTAAATGGTCACAAACTGAAATCCTTCACACTAAAATCAGGAACAAGTCAAGCATGTCCACTATCACCACTCCTGTTCAATATAGTCCTGGAAACACTAGTAACAGCAATTAGATAAGAAAAAGAAATAAAAGGAATAAAGACAGGAAAGGAAGAAGTTAAACTGTCATTATTTGCAGATGACATAATACTCTATATAGAAGATCCCCAAAATTCCACCAAAGACTCCTAGACTTAATAAGAACATTCAGAAGAGTAGCTAGATATAAGGTCAACACTCAAAAATCAATAGCCTTCTTGTACATGAACAACAGACTCACTGAAAGAGAAATTGAGGAAACAATTCCTTTCATAATAGCATCCTCAAAAGTGAAATGTCTAGGAATCTAATGAAAGAAGTAAAAGATCTCTACTTTGCAAACTACAGCACTCTGAAAAAAGAGATTGAAGAGGAATATCAGAAACTCAAAAGACATCCCTTGTTCCTGGGTGGGAATAATTAATATGGTGAAAATGGCCATACTTCCAAAACTGCTATATAGATAGATGCAGTGCAATCCCTAATGAAATTCCAACAGCACATTTCACAGAACTGGAGAAAACAATCCAAAAATTCATTTGGGACAAGAAGAGACCTGGAAAAGCCAAAGCAATTCTAGGCAACAAAGACAAGGCAAGGGGTATAACAATCCCCAGCTTGTAATTATACTACAAAGTTACTGTGATAAAAACAGCATGGTACTGGCAGAGAAGAATGAGAAATTAGATTCATTCATAGGAAAATGGATACATATTGAGGATATACTCCTAAGTGAAATAAATAAGTCACACATGTAAATACTGAATAGTTTCTGTGGTGTGAAAAACTAAAATAGTACACAAGATCCTAATGAGATAATTAACAATGTGAAATAGGAAAAAAGGGGCTAAAGGTGTAGGGAAAGTGGGAAGGGTAGGGGAAAGGGAATAAGGGAAAAGAAAAGAAAAGGAGAAAATGAAAAAATGGAAATAAAGTATAAAGGGGGAAGGAGGAAGGGGTGAAGGGAGGGCAGGGACAAGGGGAAAAAATGAGAATCAAGACCTGTCATGTAAAGGTACAAGATCCCAATATGAATGTAACTGTACTGTATACCTAAAATGTACCAATAAACTCAATAAAAAGAAAAGAAGAAAAAGATGCAGAAACAACTCCAGACATACTCAGCCACCTCATCTTTGTAAAATGGACCAAATATACTCACTGGAAGAAAGACAGCCTCTTTAATAAATGGTGCTAGAAAAACTGGGTCTCAATTTGCCAAGGATGAAAATCAGACTCATATCTTTCACCATGCACTAAACTAAAATTGAAATGCATCAAAGATCTAAATATTAAAACAGAAACACTAAACCTGCTGGAAGATAGTTTAGGTAGAACTCTTGAAGTCATTGGCATAGGAAAAGATTTCACAAACAAAACTTCTGTTTCACAAAAACTTGCACACACACAAAAAAATCAACAACTGGGATCTCATCTTATTAAAAAGCTTCTGCACAGAAACAAAAACTACCAACAGAGTGAAGAGACAACCGCAATGTGGAAAAAATTTCACCAGGTATTCCTCAGACAAAGGACTACTATCTAGAATACATGAAGAATTAAAAAAAATCAGAACCCCTAAATTTAAAGACCCAGTCAAAAAGTTGGCTTCTGAAATGAATAGACATTTCTGAGATGAAGGAGTAGAATCAAGAGATTTGAAAACATCACTGAGATTCCATCTCACACCTGAAAGAATGGCTGCTATCAAGAATCAACCACAAATGCTGTTGGGGATATGGGGAGAAAGGAACCCTTCTCTACTGTTGGTGGGAGTGTATACTGGTACAACCACTACAGAAATCAGTGGGAAGATTCTTCAAAGAACTAGGATTAGATGCCCCCTTTGACCCAGCTGTTCCCCTGCTGGGTATCTTCCCAAAAGATTTAAAAGTACCATACCACAGCAATATATGCACACACATGTTTAAAATGACATAGCTTGTAATAGCTAAATCTTGGAAATAGCCCAAATGCCCATCAACTGGTGGATAAAGAAGATGTGGGTTAAAAAAACAAATAAAATGCAGTACTATTCAGCCATAAAGAATGAGAAACTAGAGGCCATTTATAGCTAATTGGATGCACATTGAAGCCATACTACTAAGTGAAATAAATAGGACACACATGTGTAAATACAGAATCATTTCTCTGGTGTGAGAAACTGTAAGAGTAATTGAGGATAAAAATGTATAATAGATAATGTAAAATAGGAAGAAAAGGTCCGAAAGAGAAGGGAAAGTGGTGGTGGGGGGAACAGAAAAAATATGAGAAAAGAAAGCAAAAATGGAAACAAAACTTTTTTAAATAAGGAGGGATGGAGAGGTGGAAGGGAAAGAAGGGGAATGGAGAAAAAACAAGAACCAATATATATCATGTACAGGAACAAATTCCCAATGAATATGGTCATACTGTATACCTAAAATGTACCTTAATGGAAAAATATTCACCTTAATGAAAACATCTTCTGCAAGTCATATTTTATTAGAACAACTTGTTTTGTAGTGTGATCAAGAAAAATGTAGTGTTAAAAACTGAGTTATAATTGATAAACTACAAAATGCATCCTTGTAAAGTGTACAATTTAGACAATTTTTAGTATATTCATTCAGTTATACAGCTACCACCACCATCTAATTCCAGAACATTCTCATCACCACCAAAAGAATCCTTGCTCTGCTAGTAACACTTTCCATTTTCCCCACTAGTCTAGGCTCTGGAGATCATTTATCTACCTTCTGTCTCATGATTTACCCTATAGGATTCTGGACAAATACGTAAATGAAACTGTAAAACATGTTCTTTTGTGTCTAGCTTTTATCTAACAGAATATTCTCTGGTTCATCCATGTTGTAGTATGAGTCAATACTACATTCTTTAATATGGCTGAGAACTATTACATTGTATGTATATACTGCTTTGTTTATACATCCATCAGTTGATGGACATGTGGATTATTTCAACTTTTTGGTTACTGTGAGTAATGCTGCTATGAACTGATGTGTACAAGGTTTTGTGTGAGATCTATGGGAACCCAATGCGTAATTTTTTTTTTTTTTGTGGAATGGTCAGAATGTTTTCAATATAGCTGTGCTATTTTGTATTCCCATCAACAGTATACAAGAGTTTCAGTTTCTCCATATCCTTGCCAACATTTGTTACTACCTATTTTTCTGTTTTTATTTTTTATTATAGACATCTTAGTGGGTGTGGTGTGGTCCTATCTTATTGTGGTCTTGACTTGCATTTCCCCAGTGACTAATGATGCTGACAATCTTTTCATGTATTTTTTTGGGCATTATATATTTTCCTTGGAAAAATATGTTTCTAACTCTTTTATTCATTATAAAATTCAGTTGCCTTTTTATTGCTACATTTTTTATTTATATTTTTTTTCTGGATTTCCAAGTAGATGATTTACAAATATGTTCTTCTAATTTCTGGGTTGTCTTTTCACTTTCTTTCTTCATAGTGTCACTAGAAGCACAAAAGTTTTAAATTTTGAAAGGTGCAATTTATCTAATTTTTCTTGGGTTGCTTGTGCTTTGGTGTCCTATCCAGGAAACTACTGCCTAATCCAAGATCACAAAGATACATACCTATGTTTCCTCCCTAACAATAGTATACTTTTAGTTATAACATTTAGGTCTTTGATCCATATTAATTTTGTGTATTCTGTGAGATAGTCTAACGTCATTCTTTTACATGTAGGTACCTAATTATTCCAATACTATTTGTTGAAACTATTATTCTTTTTTCATTTAATTGTTTAGCACCCCTGTTGACAATCACTGACTGTAAAATTAAGGGCCTATTTTTGGATTCCCAATTCCATTCCACTGACTTACATGTTTATCTTTATGCCACTACCACACAGTCTTGATTACAATGGCTTTATTGTAAATTTTGAAATTAGGAAGGGTGAATCCCTCCAATTTTGTCCTTGAGTTTTCAAGTTTTTTTTTCCTCATTCTTATGTCATTTTATTTCCACAGGAATTTTGTTTATTTGTTTTGTTGTTGTTGTTGTTTGTTTTTCAGGATGGCCTTGTACTCACTACATAGTCCAGGTTGGTCTCAAACTTATGGCAATCTTCCTACCTCAGTCTCCCACTTGTTGGGATTGTAGGCATGTGCCACTATGCCTGGCTCCATAGGAATTTTAGAATC